CTCTTGTTACCCAGGCTGGAGTGCAATGGCGCGATCTCGGCTCACCGCAACCTCCGCCTCCTGGGTTCAGGCAATTCTCCTGCCTCAGCCTCCTGAGTAGCTGGGATTACAGGCCACCATGCCCAGCTGATTTTTTGTATTTTTAGCAGGGACGGTGTTTCACTATGTTGACCAGGATGGTCTCAATCTCTTGACCTCGTGATCCACCCACCTCGGCCTCCCAAAGTGCTGGGATTACAGGCGTGAGCCACCACGCCCGGCCCCCTTTACACTGTTAAATGCTGGCCACTTTCTCTTTGTTCCCATTCCAAAAATTGGAGAAATATGTGCTACTGTCAGGGAACTCTGCACATCCTCTAATTACTCAGGCCTTTGTAGTCAGCTTATGATTGATATGTATTAGTAAACTAAAGGTATTATTAGTGATATTGAGAAAAAATGATCCTGAATCTAACTACAACAGAGGTCAAATGAAAGGTAAATACTCACTACATACAAGTCAGAGATGGATGACAACGACCGTGTTAATCAGAGTTCCAGGAAAGATTTTATGTGACTACTGACTCAGACAGTCAAAGGAAAGCAATTTACATTTCATACCTGAGACAGAGCAATCTGTCACTTGGAAATATTTGGGTCAGCAATATTAGCTGAGAATAAAATCATGATAAGAACAATTCTAAATAAACTAGATAACCAGAAGGATTCTGAAAGCGGAAATTTCCTTCCCATTCCTTTGAACTATATATAAATATTCCACCTTGATGGGACTGGCCGATGATAGGTGGTTGACAAATTTCATCTGGATTAGAAAATAATTAGGTTTTCTGCATCTTTTATACTATGATGAATTTTACTCTCATTTAGAACTGTTAGCAGAAACAAAAAAAATGGTGTCTTAAGAAAACATATTGTGATGTGAAGAAATGTTTTGGGCACATGCAAGTGTGAATAAAAAAAGAATAAATCAAAACTATTTCATTTGTTCATAAAATTACTCAGAATATGGTCTCTAGCAATTTTATACATAAACTTACCATTTTTAAAAGGTATGTACTTTGTAGATCTTTGGGTTCCAAAGAATTGGTTGTTGCTACGTACAAATATTTTGTAGCAAAAATGATTAAAATCACGTAAATGTAAATATTTGTTTAAAGTTGAAGCTATTGATAGCAGAGATGTCCCTGTTTACCATAAATCCTAGACTCAAATTACTACAAATTTACTGGTTCTAAAAAGGATGTCACACTTGCGTTTATTGTATACTCAGTATGGCTAACAGAGATTTTGGCCACACCCAAAGCTCTGCTGCATTGTCTAAGCACTGCTTTATTGTATCCTAAAGCATCCCTTCTGCAGAAAAACCGAGCTGCCTCATTATGACTCCCCTTGAAGCTGCTCGGCTCCATTGTCCTGCAGTTTTCTGTTTGCACTCTACAGACTCAAAGGTTGCTAAGCAGCAAGCAGTGCTTCCCTGCTTAGAGATCTGGTAAGGTTTCAAGAGCTCTTTGCTCTAGGTTTTCTGTTTAATATTAGAGAGATTTGATAAAGCCATGTTGGTCAAGCTTTTATTTTAAATCTGTCCAAATTTCCTGATAGAGTGAGCATTTTACCAACAGCACTTCATTTGCATTGGGGTCATAACATATGTTAAATTTCTAGTGTTATATAAAAATCCTCCAGTCCAATAACCCCAGTTTACAGATGATGAAACTGACACTCAAAGAACTGAAGAGAAATTTCTAATTTCCAAGAAAATAAATTTCTTGTTGTCCTCAGAACCCAAACTCCAAGTACAAATTCTACTCTCAGAAAAATCATTAGGGAGGTTAAGTTGCTGATCAGCAGTTGTTGTTGAATAAAGGACTCTCTCAGTTATAAAAACCCTTCTAAAAACAGATTCTTTCCCTTTTTCTTTATCTTGGACCTGTTTAAGAAATAGATGGATGTCAGGAATTCAGAAAAATGCACATAATACATATGCATTTTAATTAATTAAAATTTAGAAAGCACACAGTTTCTCTGCAGCTCACCTATAAATCCTCTGAATTAAGAATGCCCTTTCTAAATGGTCTGGATGTAAGGAACACTTCATTATATTCTAAACTAAATGTTGCTTATTTCTTCTTGCTCTTCATTGTTCCTAGAACTATGTTCCAGGAACTAACTGTTCAATGAACTTTACATGTATTCAGAGATTCAATCTTCTTAAAACACTTATAGATTATTAGTATTTTAATCATTTCACAGATGAAGCAACCAATCTGCAAAGAAATTGAGTAACTTAACTAAGGTCACAGAGCCAAGACATCAAGATTCTAATCTACATGGTCTGGCTCCAGAGCTGAAGGATCTTTCAACAACTAGGTATATGGTTTACAGGGCATCTATAATGTGCCAATCACTTTTGCTAACTAATATAAGTGTTCTCAAACATTCTGAGGAAGTTATCATTATTATTGCCACTTTTCAGATGAGGAAATACACCTTTATAGATAAGATGTCTAATGTTGATAAATCAAGTAAGTTAAGTGAGACCTGGAATCTTCTAATATATCATGCAACATTATTTTCTCCACAGCAACGCTGTCTAATAGCACCTTCTACATTGATGAAAATGTTCAGTATGGAGGCCATTACTCGCATGTGACTATTGAGCCCTTGCATTATAGCTTGTGTGACTGAAAAATTTATTTTTCATTTTAATTTTAACTGACTTTAGTTTAAATACTCACACACTAGGAACTACCCTATTAGACAACAAGACTGTAGAGCCTTATTCCTCTAAATGTGATTGATGGTCCAGAACAAACAGCAGCACCTGAGGACTGGCAGAAATGTAGACTTATAATGGTTAATTTTATCCATCAACTTGACTGGGCCATGATGTGCCCAGATAAAACGTTATTTCAGGTGTGTGTGTGAGGGTATGTCCAGATAAGATTCACATTCGAACCCAGTGGGCTCAGAAACTAGGTAGCCCTCCACAGCAAGGTGGGCATCACTCTATTCATTGAGGGCTTAAGTAGAACAAAATGTAGAAGAAACAGAAAGAAATGCTTTGCCCCCTTTTTTTTTTTTTCTGTCTCACTGTATGAGCTGGGACATCTCCTCTCAACTTCCCCTGTCCCTGGACTAAGATTTATGCTATCAGATGTGCCTTTTCATTTTCACACCTACAAAGAGGTTTAATTGACTCACAGTTTCACATGGCTGGAGAGGTCTCAGGAAACCTCCTATAATGGCAAAAGGAGAAGCAAATACAACCTTCTTCACATGGCAGCAGGAGAGAAAAGTGCAGAACAAAGCAGGGGAAAGTCCCTTATAAAACCATCAGATCTCATGAGAACTCACTCGCTATCACGAGATCGGCATGGAGGAAATGCCTCCATGATCTAATCACCTATCACAAGGTCCCTTCCCCAACACATTTGGGGAAGATTTGGGGGATTACAATTCAAGGTGAGATTTGGGTGGGGACACATAAATATCAACAGCCAGACCATATCAACATATTTGGGGCTATAGATGTAAATTTGGGGATCAACAGAGTTGAGGAAAAAACTATTACAATATGTAAGATTAGCCAAGAAGAACATGCAGGGGAAGAGCCTCCCCAACATCTTAGACAGATTGTGAAGGAAAAGGGGATGTCTTGCAAGAAAACAGTAGCATGGAACATAAGGGGTCTCACAAGCCAAAAAAAAGGTAGTCTGGTATGATTGACAGTTCATCTGAAATAAAGTTACAAAGTAAGTAAATCCCAAAAAGACCACTTTAGTTTGATGTTTACTTGGTCACTGGTGACCTTATAAGATGAATTTCAAAAAATGGAAACCAGAGGCTGTGGAATAAAAAGTAGATGGAGGTGAGGAAATTAGGGCAGTGAGTAGACTCTTCTTTGGAAAGAAGAAAGTTTTATATAACTGTATACAGTAGGTTACAGATCAGGGAGACTGACAGAGGCATGCAAAGATTCCAATTAACCAACCTTTATCATCTCCAAAGGAAAAACACATATTTACTTTGTACTGGCACGGCATAGAAACAGAGGTGAAAATGCCATCACACCCAAAGCAGCATGTTTTGAACAATGAAGAACAAGCTGTTCTGAGTGGTGGAAGGGATAAAAGGGTGCAAACTGCAGTTTGTGGTCCGTCAGGCTTACCATAATGTATAGGGGCAAGACCCACAGTGATAAAGAATTAAGTGATCAGAAAGCAGCTGAGAGTCAGAGCTTAAACATGAATTGGGCACCAGTGAATGCTTATCACCTTGTTCATATACAACCTAACCTAATCCTATTTACTTCTTCATGAGAAAGCCTGTCCCCAACAGCTAAACTTCCAGTCACACTCCCACTCAGTCCCTAAACTACTGGGCAAAGTCAACATCGTAACTTCTTAATCCAAGGTTTAGAGGCCCACCAATCTGCCTAGCAAATGCCACTTAGCACCTCTGCAGGACCAGCTCATTTCCATTACTGGTAATAATAAAGAACTCTAGGGTAGGAGGAGAGCACACAGGTAATGAGGCTGCTGATCGGCTCCAACTTTATGGCCACATTCTTCCAGGTCTTGCTTCTGTGACAGCACCTAGGCCTTGCATACCAAATCAAAGACCCCAACTCTAGGCTATTTCCCCTGGAATGTTGCATGAATCTTTATGCTAGCACTCTTTAAGAGCCTGTTTAATCTAAGTCTAGGCTACTACTTGTGTTTACCATCCCATCATAGGCTCCAGCCTCAGGGTTAGACTCCTTCCATGCTATCTGACCTGGGCCCACTGCCATTACCAGTTCCTGACACACTCTTCCTCCCATCTCAACTCTTTCACAATCAGCTTCTGATCCTATAGCACAGACTGCAGTACCTTGACAGCCACCTCTAGGCCCTGAGACTCTGCCTTTCCTGGATTGGCCCTCCTATCTACACATTGCCACCCTGAGTCCTCACAGAGTGATTTTATTGATCACTGCAACCTCCCCTGAGAAATAAGACTTGTCACTTGCAGTGGCTTCCACCCACCGATTTAATTGATAATTAGTAAATCATAAAATAGGTATTCCTGTATACTCTTTGTATTGTACTTTACACTTAACTAATATGTCAATGGAGAAAAGGATTTTTAAAAAGTTGATAACCATAAACTTTTCATTAAAATATCAAGAAAATATAATGTGTCAACAGAGAAGGACATTTTCCAAAAGGTATTGTAGATAACAACAGTGCCTTCATTTACATAATATATATCTATATAACCTTTATAATATTACATTTCCTTTGAGCCTCGCAATAACCCTTTAAGCATGGCAGGAATCTCCACAAGTCACATTTAACTAGAGGAAATCAGAGTTGAAAGGCCCAAGTGACTTCCTCAAGTTCATGCAGGTAACAAACTGGCAGCGCTGGGTTTGAACACAGAACTTCTGCCTCTAAAGCCTGTGCTTCTCAATCCAAATGACAGTGTCAGTCTCATCTCCCCAACGATTCCCTTGATACCCTACTTCCCACCATCATTCAATTCATGTCCTAGTTTTTCCTAACTCTGTCTACCCCATTCCTTCAGCTAAGTATGTCCGTCCCACTGTTTCTGTGCAATGTAAATTCTTCATTCTTCCCAGACCAACGCCAGGTAATTTTCTCTAAAATCCTTAACTGACCCCCAAACAGTGAGGTTTATCCTCTCTTCTCTGCTCAAACAACTCTTCTATGATCTGATTTGATGGTTTTATACATGTTAGTCTCCAGTAGGTTTTTATTATTAAAAATAAACTTATTACTTGATAAACTGCTATGGTTTGAACATCTGTACCCTCCAATACTTATATTGAAATTTAATTGCCATTATAACCACATTAAGTAAGACCTTTAAGGGGTCATTAGGCCATGAGGCCTCTACCCTCATGTTTGGGACTGGTGTCATAATAAAAAGGAGAGCTCAGCCTCCTTTTGCCCTCTCACCTTCTGCCTTGTGATCACACAGCAAGAGGGCCCTCACCAGATGTTGGCATCTTGATATTGGACTTCCCAAATATCAGGAACTGTGAGCTAATAAGTTTCTGTTCATTATAAATTACCCATTATCAGGTATTCTGTTATCACGCTACAAAATGTATTAAAGCACAAGCATTATGTATGCATGGTAGAAAGTTAGATTCAGGTAACACAAAAAGAAGATTAAATGACCATATTCTTATAATCCAGAGATGACCATGAATACCTTATTCCAAATTCTTCTATATCTTTTTTTATTTATAAGAGTCACTTAAGGACTCTGGCTTTGTTTCTTTAACTACTATTAATTATAGTACCTGCCCTAGTTAACTATTGTCATAGGTTTTTCTGTGAATTTAAAAGAAGCTATACTTAATTACTCTGTTCCTCAGTTTCCTCATCTAAAAAACAAGAATGGTAATAACACCTACCTCTAGAGTTGTAGTAAAATTACTTGAGTATTTAAAATACTGAAACCTATGTCTGGCTCATAGCAACTGCTGAATATGTTAATTATTAGTTTTATTTCTGTTATTATTTTATCATACACCATCACTTGATAATCATTTTTCGCTTAAAAATAAGAAGATTAGTAAGATCTGCTTGGCATCTCTTTATTAAACATTAATTTGAAGCAAAGAGGGAACTGCTTTTTAAAGTAATTAGAAATTGAGAGAAACAAACTCTGTAGCAGAGATTGGCATTGATTACAACTTGAGAGCCCAGTCTGAGACTTGGCCAAGAAAATTAGTTTTTAAAAAAAGTTTCTTAGAGGAAGGAATGCTTGAATGAATGCAAGAATGAACTTGAGACTGAAATTTAAAGTGTATTCAGCTTCTGGGTATTTGCTGGAGATTCTTGCTTCATCACCTTTAGGCTTGGTGTCCACAGTGGTGACTGAAGGATGAATGGTCATCAGGGAATCTTTATCTGCCTTGTGTGGCAGTCTGGGCCCCTGGTAGGAAAAAAGGGCACCATCCAGTGCAGCTGGTTCTAAAGTTTGACAAGGACATAGCATCAGCTCTAAGGCTAATTCCTCCAGAGAGGAAGACCCATGGAGAAGAGTTTTGCTTGGTGTTTCTTAAAAATCTGAAGTCATTTTAGATCATGAACATACACTATATCCAGCTTGATGAGTACATGATATTATATATTTAGAATACACAACTCAAAGTACAGCTGAACCTGACAGTAATACCCACCTCAGTGATTGGACTTAGATTTATGTCTTTTGCTGGTATCACAGTATGGCTTACTGTATTCAGAAGTACTAAGCATCATTCTTGGATACAACCAGTGTACATATAGCAGAATAACTCCAGGCAAGAGAATATTCCACCAACATCCTTCCCATGGTTAAAAAGATTCAAAAGTATCATTTTCATATAAGGAGCTGTGTGGAAAAGATCGAAAATTCCAATCACTGAATGCCTTTTTCCTCCAAGGAACTTCGTCTAAACTGCCCTACTTTCTGAACTGTTGTTGTCAGAAGTTCCTGCCTCTCTAGTTCTTTATTTTATTATCTAGAATTTCTGAACATTGTTGTTTGCCTGTACTGAGGCAAGTTCCCTTCTTACACATTTGAATTTAATTCTGGAATTGTAAAGTGATTCTCAATGCAGGTCACTTCTCTCATGTGGCGCAGAAGTGAGAAGGATCTAAAGCAGAAGTGATCTGCCGCTGAGTCATGCAAACTCAGCCTCCTCGCTGCAGGAAGATCCTCCCTGCAAGTCTACCCAGTTGTCCTTCACCAACGTGTCAGGAGGATGCCCCCTTTAAAATCCAGTCTAAAACTGTAGCTAGCTGCCAAACCATATTAATTCATTGAAAAAAAAATGTTAGGTACTTCCTAGGATTAAGCACTAAAGTACTAAAGTAAAGTAAACAGGATTCCTGCCTTATAGCTACCTAAAATGTGGTTCAGATTTTTTCTGAAACAGGCAGAAAAAAATCATGATTAATCCCAGAGGGATACGTATAATACTATGAATATGAATTGTGGGAAAACAGAAGGCTGCCACTATCTTAGCTAAGTGTGCGTAGCTCAGTCAATGTTTTTTATAAAACAACTAACCTGTAAAAGATGAACAGAGGCTTCAGCCAGGCAGAATAGGCAGAGAGTGGGTTAGGGTGGGAACCAGGGACAGAGGTAAGTGTATTATAGAAGAAGCACAAGCTTGTTCCTATCGTATGTACTCCAGGGGTATTTGCTATGGCTGGAGAAAGAAGTCAAGGTGAAGACGTTGCAGGAGATATGAGGCACAAAATTAAAGCAAAACTGAGGCCAAGAAGGTGCTCGTGTGCTTTCTGGTAAATTTGAATTTTATCCTGAAGATTATTGGAAGTGAAGTTTCATGAAGAGCCTGACTCTTCAGAAAGACAACTTAGCAACCCTGTGCAGGTTGTATTAGAAAGAATTAGATAGAAATAGGGAAACTAGTGACAGGGCTATTGTTACTCTTCAGAAGAGACATTATTAAATCTGAACTAGGAAAAAGGTGGTAGAAATGAAGAAGATAAAAAAGATTCAGAGACGCTTCAATGAGAAGATGGTGAAAGGAAGAATTTAAGATTATGCTCTCTAAATTTAGACTGTCCAGATCTACCAAGTCTAGGTTCCAGGGAAATAGAACTTAATCAATTTTTTGTTATTTTTACTGTTGTGTTATTGTAATTACTATTATTCAAAGTATAAAAGGGAAAAAAAGGCCTACCTATAGTCCCACCACCCAAAAGTAACCCACTACTAACATATCATTGTATATTCTTTGTCCTTTATATGTATGTTTTACAAAATCAAGATCATATTCATCATATTTTACACATTTGTTCTGCAACCTATTCAATGAAAGCTAATTATAACTTTTTACTGTAAGAAATTTTAAAACTATAACAAATTTGATGAAAAATTAAGCAAACACCATGCATAACTGATAATCATTTGTTATAAAGGTTCTAGTTCTTTTTTTTATAGAGCAAAATGACAAACTGACAAATGCATTCAAAGTCCCATTTACTCCATTATCCTAAATACAATTTCCCCATCCTCAGCAACCACTAAAATAAATTTACTATATATACTGTCATGCTTTACACATGTAAAACATATTTATTTATATTTAGCTTTAAATAATATATAGCATGCTTTGTGTGTATATCTTTGATTGCATAAGAGATATCATAAGATATAAACTCTGGGAAGGTAGCACAGCATAATGGCTGAAGCTTGGTCCTAAGGTTCATATTGCCTGGTTTTAATCCTAGATCCCTGTGTACTAGCTGTGTAGCCCTGGGAAATTCATCTCTTCATTGCCGGTGCCCCTTATCTGTGCAGCATGTTGCTAATTGACTGTGATGATTAAATAAGCTAATAAATGTAAAGAGAATAGAATAGTTTCTGTCATATAGTAGGCTTTCAAAAGATGTTAATTTTCTTAACATTCCTTTTAATTATTCTATAGCTTTTTTTATTTCTCATTATGTTATTTTTTCCATTGATTACCCTATGGATGGATATTTAGGTTGTTTTCAGTTTTTTTGCTACTGCAAATAAGGTTGCAATGAACATCCTTATACATATCTCTTTGTGTGCAATGTCTAAGAGTATCTCTACAGCATATTCCAGAAATGGAATCTTTCTCTTTTTTTAATTGACAAATGATAATTATACATATTCATGTGTTACATGGTGATGCTTCAATACATGTAATGTAGTGCTCAGATCAGGGTAACTAGCGTATCTATCACCCATTTATCAATTTTTGTGTTAGGAACTTTCAATATCCTCCTTCTAGCTGTTTAAACCTATATATTATTATTAACTATAGTCATTCTACAGTCATATAGAATACTAGAAGTTATTCTTCCTATCTAGCTATAATTTTGTGTCCTTTAACAAATGTCTCTATATCCCTCCCTTTCCCCTGCCCTTCACAGCCTCTAATGTCCTCTGTTCTACATTTTACTTCTATGAAATCAACTTTTTTAGCTTCCACATATGAGTGAGAACATGTGGTGTTTAACTTTTTGGTCCTGGCTTATTTAATTTAATGTCTCCCAGTTCCATTCATGTTACACAAAAGGATAGAATTTCATTCTTTTTTATGGCTGAACAGCATTCCATTGTGCAACTATAACACATTTTCCCTATTCATTCACCTATTGTTGGACACCTAGGTTGATTTCATATCTTGGCTATTGTGAATAGCGCTGCCATAAATATGGGGTACAGATGTATCTATGATATAATGATTTCCTTTCCTTTGGATAGATTCCTAGTAGTGGAATCCAGCAATGAAATTTCTGAGTCATTGGATATAAATTCACTGGTTTGTAAGATCCTGCTAAATTCCTTTCTAATCTGGTTTTGCCAACTCACACTTCTATCTTTTCATTTCCTCATATCTTTATCAGTACTTACTGTCCAACTGTTTCATTTTTGACAGTCTGACCATGAAAAATGCTATCCCATCTTTTTTAAATTTATACTTCACCTATATTAAGTGAGGTTGAACATCTCATAATCGAAAATTCAGATTTCCTCTATTGTGATATGCTTGTTCATTTTCTTTGTTCATGTTTCTCTTAATCTCCTTTTTTCCTTTTCACTTTAATTTGTAGGATTTCTAGACCCTATGTCTTTATATAAATTTCAGCCATATTCTCCAGGTACATTGTAGGGTTTTTAAATTTGTTTATCTCTTAGCATGTGTTTTATTGTATGGAATATTGCAATGTTAATGCAAATTCATCTTTTCTTTCCCCTTATGACCTAAGAATTCCTTTCCTAATCCAGGTCATATTCTTCTCTGTTTTAGTCTATGGGTGTTGAAGGTTTATTTTATGCATTTGGAATTTTGATCCATCTGGAATTTGTTTGTGAATATAATGTAAGATAGAGAATTCTATGTCCATACACTATATATTTATAGAGCCATCTCTGTCATATATCAAGCTCCCATTTAACTCTGATTCTGGGTTTCTCATACTATTCTATTGATCTAATCATTTATTCTAGCTGTCTGTTCTAATTACAGCTTCATCAAGTAATACAAAAAATCTGTATCACTAAAAATTACTCTTATCATAAATCTCTTATCTTACAAATAAACAATGAGCAGAACTCCCAGAGAAAGGATGAAGAGAAAAGAATCTAAAGTCAATCTTGGCAGTATTAAAAGGGATGGAAAGGAGTAAACAAAGTTACAAAATATTTAGGGGGAAATTTTAATAGGACTTAGCTGTGTATGTTGAAGAACTGGAGGAGTGAAGAATGTAAGGAATTAGGGGTGCCTGCTCAACAAACTTGTAGCATGGGTGATTATGTAGTTGTAATATTTCAAAGTGAAGTAAACATTAGTAGAAGAAAAATTAAGCTTTTGAGAGGAGATTGCTGGGTTTGGTCGTAATTATTATATTCAGGCATTCAATGCATGCCCGTTGCATTGACCAACAGGAAACTGGATAAACACATCTAAAACTCTTTAGAACCTCTGAGCCCAAGAAATGAATTTGCAAATTATTTGTTGGCAAATACAGTTAAGTCTCTAGGACTAGAGGTGATCACCCAGGGAAAACATATAGGTAGTCAGAAAAGCCTTCCCAATATATAAAGTGAATATTGGAGAAAAGTTAACTTACAGAAGAAGAAGGAAAATATAAGACAAGGAACTGATAATGTCAACTGAAGCAGATCGTCCAAAATAAATCTCTCTTGGATTTGACAGTTTAGAAGGTGGTGGTTACTTAGTAAAGTTTAAGGCTAATAGAAGCCAACTTCTGGTGAGTTATCAAGTGAATGAGAGTGGATTGTGACAAAGAGTATAGACAATCCAATTGAGAAAATAATGTTGAAATGCCACTTAAAATTAGAAAGAGACAAAGGATTATGGAGGAATAGTGCAGCATGTAAAAGACAAAATGAGGAGTCTGTTATCAAGGTTTAAACATGTGGCTCATACAAGCTTGGTTCAGTCGGCTTCACTGCCTCATGCAGAACCTTTCTCGAATTCTAAAACATGTTCCCATCAGTGACATCAAATCCCCACAAACTCTTCATCTTCTGACCACTGAGCACAGAATGGTTGCCAAGCACTGATCACCTCCCTCTAATCCTCACTACCAAGGAGACTGAGCATCTTAACAGGCTTGGCTCTGCTTCCAGCCCTGCGACCCCTTCTGTTATTTACCAGGAGGTACTTAAGGAGTTCTAACTCAATAGCTTTACTTTTTCACTAGTGGGACTACTAGGACTGTTCTAACCACAAACTCATTCTAGCTGCTTGACTCCTTGTTCTTGTTATAGAAGCTTTTCCAACAGCCAGACCCAGTGTTGTTTTCCACCTGCTCACACCTAACAAGCTCATGTCAGCAACTTCCCCAAGACCAGGACTTTTGCTCACCAGGTTGCTTAATGCTTGCCTCTTGGATTTTTGAATAGCTTTTACAGGAAACAGGGCTTAAGAACTTGCCTTCTGACTTCTCTAATCTGAAAAGCCACTTTGACATCTGTTTTCTGCCTGTATCTCATCTCCCTAGATCCTCCACTGTATGTTCTTATACTTCCCCATTTCCACCTCTGGCCTTTCAGGGATCCTCTGCCTTGCCCTGATTCGTCTTTGAAAACTTTGAGGTACTGTCTACTCTGGCTCAAGCCCATGACACATCCACTGAGTTCCTGTTATTAAGATAACATCTTAATTAGCTCTGTTTCTTATTTCAGGTTTTTTAACTGATTACCAGATTCCAAAGACTGTATTTACCTATTGCTGCAGTCAGTTACTTTACAGGGCAATCAACAAATCAAGATGTATGTTGACATATACTCCATATTTATATCATGCTGCACATTATGGGAGGTACAGACCTAAGACATGGAGAGAGAAAAGACATGAAAACATGATATGTTAAAAATCAGTAAAAGATAGAAGATTACATAACAACAGTAGAAAAAGGCTCACCTGGGTACCATATTTCCCAGTAAGTGGTAGAAATAATAACAGCTATTGACTATAAAGAGCCATAAACTGTGTAAGAGAATTTTATATCCCTTTTTTTAGCTTAACAATGACATTGCCAGGTGAAGATCAAGCATTATCACCAAGGGAATTTTACAAATCAGGAAATGTAAGTGTACAAATTTCAACTGAATTGCAAAACTACACTTGACCTCTAGTGTTCTCTAGAGCCTACATATGATTCTAGACTTCTGATAGCAGAATTAATTCCATACTGCTAAGTTGGCATTCAGGTCCTATACATTGCCTTCCCCAAATGCTGCAGCCATCCCACTAGCAGACTGCTTTTTCATACCTTCAAGTCTTGTGTGACATTACTCTTTTTTTCTGCAGCGTCCTTCCCTCCTTCCTCTCCCACCTAAATGCAATAAATATAAACACAAGCCCTTCTCTAAATTTTTTGTCAAAATTACTTACACCCTCTTCTGAGCTTAAGCAGTATTTTTTGCTGATACTTGCAATAAACCATAAAACTTTTGTATTATCTCTTCTGTTTGGGGAATTGTGTTTTTATGTAAAATTATTCTATAAGCCTTTTTTTTCCTCAAAAGAACTTAGTACAGGATTTGACAAAGTGAAGAACTCAAAACAATATTTGTTGAATTAATTAATATATAAATGCAAATCATGAGTGAAAGTTTGTTCAGCTACTGAATATTTTCTGAAGGAGCCTTGCATTTCAAAAGCAATCCATGTATTTCATAAGGCCTGGGCTCAGTATTCAGGGTAAATGAAATATTCATGGTTAAAAAAGAATCCTTTATGAACATTAGTGCCTGAAACACCAGGGAAAAAAGATGTGGACTACAAACAATATGTATACACTTGGCGATCCTCCATGCTCTTTTCTCTTTCCAGTTGTCTTGAACGGAGCCACCCTCAGGAGGCAGCACCTCCCTCTTCTCTCTCCTCCTCCTGGGCCAGCCATATAAGATGCGCCTCCCTCCTCCTGACCTTCCACCATGATTATAAGTTTCTTGAGGTCTTCTCAACCATGCTTCCTGTACCACCTGCAGAGCTATAAGCCAGTTAAACCTCTTTTCTTATAGTCCAATTCCTACAGTTATTCCTTATATAAATTCCAAGAGAAGACAGTTAGCCAAACCATTATAGAATTACCTACTCTCAGTTAGGTATTTATAGCAACGCAAGAACAGAATAATACAGCCTCTGAGTAGCATTTATCATCCTGGATTTGTCGTCTTTTCTGTTTAAGTTATGTTTAAGGAATCATCCCTGACCCTTTTTGAGTTTTGTCCTATTTAAAGAGAATTTAAGTTTAGAAATGATCTTATTTAATACTAAGTCCATCCTTTTGTCCTTCAAGAATTGTTGCCAAAATTTACGTGTAGGAGCTCAGCTAAGCAGCTCCTCTGAAAATGATCATTTACAGTCCCTGCAGAATTTTAACTATGATAATTGATTTACTGATTTCTGCCTTAATTCATTTTTTCACTCAGGAACAAGTTGAGGCAGGGATTTGGGTGATAGTCAACAGTAAGGTCAGGAATGAGGTTAAGTTATAGATAGTATTAAAATTTAAGAGAAGCAGCTAACCTCAAAGATGTTAATTAACTTTAAGGATGGGGTAAAATTCAATGCTAGGTAAAGTTCAAATATATGTCACTGAGGGGTGTGTGTGTGTGTGTGTGTGTGTGTGTGTGTGTGTGTGTGTTGTAACACATTACTTGGCAAAATATGAAGATAAATGGATTGACCAATTTAGATCCAGAAAAAAGATGAGACTCTCCAAATATCCTGGGTATCAAATCATCATTCCAATTAAATCACCAGGTACTCCGCTGGAGTCAGAAGGGGTATACAGCACAAGTATACAAGTGCTAAATAACATGAAGCAATTGACATTATTCAGAGAAGTGTAATACAGCTGGAGAATAGGATAAATGCAGAGGAGCCTGGGGAGGTAAGAAGGGGGTGGATCCTCTAAGAGTTTGCAGCCCCTTGGAAATCAAAGTGAGTGATGGAGGTGGTTGACTTCCAATCTGACAGCACCTGAGGAGACATG